CCAGTTCCATCACTCCCCCAAAAAACCAATAGAGTAAAGCTTACCGACTATGTGATACCTGATAGAATTCTTAAAAAAAAGAGTTTAATAGGTAATTAGGGGTAATCGGTAATAGGTAATTAAATAGTGTTTTTATTTTAAGTATTATATATTTTTTTTCTTCTGACAAAAGTAATATCTATCCCATATACCCCTAAGAGTAAGTACTCGGTATGAAGAACTGCATCTGGTTGCTTGTCAAACGCTTGCAGCATTTTTTTCAGCTTGTTTCTGTCACTATTACATTTCATATTTCCACGATGGGTTTTTGTTTTTGTTGTCCAGCTTAGAACTGAAACTCAACACTTTGGCAATTCGAATTCCCCCTTTTGCAAGCGCCCCCTCCCCTTTTCCAGTTTTTGTTCCGAAGATTCCTATTCATTGGAAAAAGTGTGAGTTAAGTCCAGAACTTGAAGTTCTCAATTGTTCAGAAAGCTGCACCATTTTCTGCAATGCACTGGAAGATATATGGTGTTATTTCGTGGTTATTTTTTCAAAAATACATATACCTAGGAATGGATGTGTAAACATATTACATACTTATCACACTACTTTCCCCAGGATAATCATGTTATTGGCATGTCCTGGCTAGAAAAGAGAACGATATGAACTCCATTGGAGATTCAGAGCCACAGAAAAGAGGATTTTATTAAACCGGTCAAGGGAGTCCTTATTCAGATCAACACCTGCCGAAGGCAGCTGCTATCGAACCCAATCCCGGAAATACTCGTAGTTCCCAAATCCAAGGACCTCAACCTGAAACCTAATTTTAAGCCAAAAAACAGAAAAAAAAACAAGCTCAAAGCTGAAAAACCAAAACCCAAACCGCAACCGATGTCCCCAAACTCATGGCATTGTCCTGCCATATCCTGTATGTGTGTGTGTGTCCTTTAGGTTCACTTTAAATGGCAGATTTATTTGGTATGTGGGGGGGAGGGAGGTCTCCTTTTTAAATCCAGATCCCCGAAGGTCCTGGCAGTTGCAACTCCAGCACCAGAAATGAGTGACATGTCCAGTCCGAAAAGGACATTGGTATGCAGTACTGTAAGCTGTACGGACAGCTCGTCCTTTCACTCATAAAAAGTAGAAGGAGGCGATGCTGGTCCTGAGTCGTAATCCCAAAACATATACTTAGAAGTGCGCTTCAGTTACAGAGATACAGAGATACAAAGATACAGAGATAGAAATGGAGAGATACAAAACAACAATAAACAGGATGCCGAAACAAACGAGCCAGCAGCTGCAAGGATATTTCTATTTTTCCTGCAGAACAAGGACTCTCACTCCGTGCGACTCCAAGTCGGAGTGCCAACACAAAACTGAATAAAAAATAATTAAGTTGACGCACTTTTTCGGCACGCCAGGCACGTGACAGGATGGCAAGGATACTAAAGGATACTGTACAATACAGAAGGATATGCTGGATAACTAGCTGTCGAGGTGCCCATTAAAATTCTCCAAAAACTCTCAAGGGGGATTTCTTTCAGTTCCCAGCCAGAAACAAAACCACTTTCATAACTTGTTTACTCTTTTGAGTGTTAAGCTTAAGCTGCTTAGCTTAAGTTTAAATAAGTTAATAGTTTTAATGAATTAATACACTTAATAGATTAATAGATAATTGTAATACCATTAGATATTTCTATCGAGGATATCTAAAAAGGAAAAGGACATTAGCAGGCGGGCACTTCCTCTGCATTTTCTCAATTATGCAGCCAATGGATTCTTTTCACAGCTCCCCACATTCCTGACCCACTTCCGGGAACGGAAAGTCCAAAGTCCGGAGTCGGAGATCCGGAATACCAGTTAGCAGCCAAATGAACCAACATTTTCCATTTTTATTTCAATTTTTTTCATTTTTTTTTTTTTTGCGTTTTCCCCCCTTTCTGTTGGGCTTCATTTTTTTCGGGTGTGTGTGTGTGTGACCCCCCTAATGAATATGAAGGGAAGTTTGTTGCATAATTTAGTCCTTGTCGAGGACGAAGTCCTAACAAAAAATATAAAACTGCATTGAATGACATGCAGTTTGCCATTTGCTCTTAATAACTAACAACTAGCTAGCTAAGCAAAAAAAAATAAAATAAAGTAAAACACAATAAAAAAAATAAAAAGTAAAATAAAGTAAATAAAGCTTAACCAAGACAAATGACAGGGAAATGTGTCAAGAACACAGAGGCGTGTGCTTGGCTGTCGCTTTTCTAGGGGGTCGGGTGATGGGAGTACTTCTAGCTCCTGGTAGGCTTCTAGTACATCCCATTCCCCTTCAAAAAGGTCAAAGAAAGTGGACCAAATACTGTCGGTACACCTGGAAGTGCGCAATGACAAAACGGCAACTGATTAAAGTTGCTGATTGAATGGCACAAGTCTGCACTTTAAGAAAATTCTATAAATTTTTCATATTTATAAGCTCTTGAAAAAAACCAAAACTTAGTTCTTAAATTCGTATTTAAACAAAAGAACTTGTATTTTCAAGGATTACAAGTAAGTAAAGAGGCTTGATTATTATTTTTGTTTTTTTCCTAAGAATTACAAAATATATTTAATCATTTTTCACAAAATATCCTTTTCGCCTTAAAGGCTTTTAATGGGAAATCAGATTCAAATGAAAAGTAGAAATTGAAGGACTTTATTAAAGTGGAAACTGGTTTCCTTTTCCAGGAACAACAATTTTAATATAAATTTTTGTCCATTTTGGAAAAGCAATTTTGGGAAAAATGTTGTCTTTCTTTTCTGCAGAAAAGTTACCTTTCAAGAAGTATATTCATAAATAGATACATATATTTTATTTCTAGTGCATTTTGGCCATAAATAAGTAAATGCAAAAGTCAGAAACTTGACAGGGAAACGAAATGAAACGAGGCTGCGGATGAAGGACAAAACTGGGCCTAAAAGAGCCAACTCGGTGGCGTGGCATGCTGTGGGGCATGTGGCATGTATGGGCCTCTGTGGCACACGGCACGCATTTGTCAGGCAAACGGCAAAAGATGTTTGACGCTTTGACAGCTGTGGCAGCGCCAGTGACAGGCAGCGCGGCAAAAAGGTAGACACCGTATGCCAAAAATCAAACACGAAATATTCGCTTTCGTCACTAGACAAGAATGGAGAGAGACACGAGGCGAGACGCAGGCACACCGAGAGGAAGAGGAGTAGGTGGAGGCAATGGAATAAAGGATGAGGTGACGAAATTCAAGAAACGTCATTTTCAATGGAGACATTTCCACTTTGTCAGCCATCATCGTACTTGTCGTCGTACCGCCGTCATCATCAATGGTCGCCTGGGATTTTCGACGCCAACATTTCGGTGAGTTTTTGACTTTCTTTTAGCTTTAGTCTTTTCTTTTTTATTTATTTATTTATTTGGCTTTAAAAAGACTTGAACTTTGCACCCGGACCCCTCTAAAGGGGTGTTCTTTCAAATATATTTCACTGCACGTTCTCCTGCCACTTAGGAACGCTTTTCGGTTATTTTTAATATGAGTACGTGACTTTTTAGCTCTGCCACTTTGTGGATGCCAAAAAAAAAGAAGAATATCAAAAAAAATATAGAAAGGAGAGGGGCTTAGAGTTGGCTTAGAGAAAGGGTGGTTTTTCGTTTGGGCCAGGCTAATTAAATGCAGGCCTAAAAAGCCAAAGATTCTCTTAAAAAAAAAAAGCATTCCAAGGCTAGAAAAATAATAATTTATAAAATAATTGTCTTAAAAACAAATCCAAAAATAGGAAACATTTAAGTCTCATCTTTAAGGATATTCTGACTTAAGGATCTCTCCAGAAACATCCCATCCATGGAGATTAGTAATACGCTTACATCTCAGAATCCAAACATTTATTGCCAGACCAGAACTTTTCTTTTTTTGGGGATTTAAGCTCTTAAAGCCTTTTAACCAAAAGGTAGAAGGAGAAAATGCTTCCTTTAAGCCCAAATACTGGGCTCTGTAAACTGAGAATTGACCAAGGTCCGCTGGCTAAGGAAGAGGATACCGCCCGCTCTCGACCCTTATCCTTTGTGGCCCCATCTAGGCCCCAGCCTCATCCTTTTGGAAGGCGGGGCCATAGTTTTCAAATTTGGCCAGGCCAACACGCACACCCCTACACACACACATATGCACCGACACATACTCGAAATCGGACACAGACACCAATGCAGACGTAAAGTACAAATGTGCCAAATGATAACATTTTTGGGGCCAACCTCGTTCCTGGTGCACGAATCCTGAAGCCATAGCTCTTGGCCCCCAAAACCCTCTTTCTTACCCCACCGCCTATAGAAACCGTATCTGCATGCTGCTCCCCAGGATGCGTAACCCATGTGCTTACACAGAGAGAAAAATGTTGTATTAAATGTAATCCTCCTTGAAAATAAATTACTAAAAGTCGATAAAAAGATCGAATACTATTTTTAAATAATTCCTAACAAGTAGTCCATGGAGAGTATTTTTTTGAAAAAAATTTCAATCACTTTACCCAAGAGCTTATGTCAAATCCATATACCGAATATATTCTCAATATCAACTCATTCTACAACTTCAGCTCGTACGGAACGAATAAAATAGCTCCTAAAAAAAAAATTCATAAAAAAAAATTTAAATCAAAAATAAATTGTGGAACAAAAATTTGATCAAAACTGTTCGTTTGTTTATTTCGTTTAACATTAAAATTAAATAGTTCTAGTTCAATTAAACGTTAACGTTTTCGCTGAAAAAGTTTATACAAAGAAATTTTTAAAAACAAACACCGTAAGCTGCAAATAAAAGTTAATTATTATAATTTTTTTTAAAAACCAGTTAACTATTTCAGACAAAAGTGAAACTGAAGAGCTTTCAACGTTACTTTTCTTTTTAAAAAAGTTGAAGAAGTTGTGTTTAGATACTTAAGGTAATACAATTTTAAATAACTTTAAAATTATATGATATATATAGCTATACTTCTATAGATATACACGACTTGACCCTATTTGCCTGAAAGACGATCTAATCTTCGGGAAACAACCAGACTCGAGAAAGTACAACTCATATTCAAGAACTTACCAAGAAACTCATCTTATTTCCAAGGTAATATAATTTTAAAAACAAATCTAAATTTCTCTACTAAATACTGACTCTCTAGAAGACAATATGCCGGCACCATTTGTAAGACCGTGGTTTGTTAGGGGCTGCGTCACCCTTATACGTATCATCTTTACCGAGACGTACCTATGGCTCTTGGTACATGCTGCCGCCGTCTTTGCGGTGCCAGTTAAGCGCTACGAGAACAAGATATGGTCAAAGGTTATGGTCCTTGACATATCGTACAGCAGCTTGATCGGAATAGACCTAAAAGCCGAGGTCTGCCTCCATGTCATGGTGGGAATATTGCTGTATACCCTATACCGTTTCTGGTGCCGCAATCGCAACAATGACCCCGTTCCCATGAACTACCGGGTTTACGTCTTCTTTCTTCCGTACATCCTATCGTTCCTAATTTGCTGGGCCATTACTACGGCTCTGTTGGGCTTGGGACTATACAGAGTTATCTATTATACGAAGAACGAAAACATGTGGGTACTAATGACCCAATTTGTTGTGGGTATCATTTTCAAGTTGCTGATCCTGGTCAACTTCTGCACAACCTGTGGTCGCTGCTATGTGAAACTACAATTGCTAGCTATAGACATCGACGAACAGCGACGAGAACTGATTCGTCTTCAAAGCTTCGGAGATCATTTGACTATGTTGTTTAATGTCTAGTTTTCGCCAAACACATTAGGTAATGTTACATAAAGCCGCTTGTTCCACCAAAATAAATGTTATTGCATAAAAATATATATTTGGTTTTTAAAAAGGGTGCTTGATGAAGGGTTCTTAACACTCTTATTGCAAGAAGTAATCATAGGAAAGGAGGAGGTTATTGGAGAAGTATTGGTATCATATTTTTCAACAATATAATATTTTCTCTTTTGACATTTATATTCATATTTGACTTAATTTTCGTAGCATACTACGTTTTTTTCCTTTAAATCCTTAACCTTTCTATAATTAATTATTATAATTCTTTAAAGAAAAATATAAGAAAACAATACAGGCTTACAATATTAAGTATAAGGTTAATCCCTAAAAGCCGAAAATAATCTTTAATTATATTTAAAAATATTTAATTTACACCTAGTTTCTTCAAGTGTGTGCCTCTAGCCGTGTGTGGCTTTTGGCTTCTTTCGCCAAATTTGGCCAACTGCTCGGTGTTTTGGTTACGGTGCGTGTGTTGGATTGCATTCCTTGAATGCTCATTTGCCCAGTTTTCACTGCGCTTTTACGGCCGTACACCCACGCACACATACACTTATATAGACACACCCACACACACACACATACAAACAAGAATATGGAGCAAGTGAGAGGGAGAGATTTTTGTGTGTTGCTGTTGATGCGATTTTATGTATTTCCATGATGCGCTTATTCGACTTCGGCATTATCCTGGCGAAGCCACGCAGCGCTTTCCATGCATACAAATTGCTAAATTATTTAAGCAGCGACAACGGCGCAAAAGGGAGGCTTGGGGGGAGAGAGAAGGGATGTAAGAAAAGCGGGAAAATCTGCAGGAAAAGCCGGAGAAGCTAAAGCAACTGGAGCGGGAAAAATAGGAAGGTGCTGCTATTAGTCCAAGTTGTCCTGTCCGGTAAGTCTTTATGGTTTTGGCCAAGAGGAGGATGTTATCCTGCCACATGTGTATGTGTGTGTCTGTCCTTATGTCCCTGTGTGTGTATGCTGGCCGCTACAATAATAAATAAGTGGCCAAGAGCATAGCATACTTTTGTGCGCCGTTAAACTTTCTGCGTAAATTCAGCGTTCATCATGGCTAACTTCGTTTCCTGGTTTTTCCTTTTTTTTTTTTGGTCAGGGGAAAAAGGTACCGCATTCCCTCCCCTTTGTCACAGGGAAAATCTTTTAGTCCTGCCGCTGCTCCTCTTGCCTTTGGCCACACTTTTCTTTTACTTTCCATTACACACAATTGCTGTCTGCCACGCATACAGTGACGTGGTTGGGGTTTCTAACCAGGGGGGTTATATTTTTTTAAAATATTTTCTAGGAGAATTAAGAGTTAATTGGTAAAGGAATTTGTTTAAATAAAGAAAGGTTAGGGAAGATATTCAAAAATACGACAAGATGACAGACAGGTAGCCAGGATAACAAGTGGATAGTCTTACAAATAAACCAACAAACGAAAGCTTAAGCGGACAAAAGGACAAAGCAATCATAGCCGAAAGGACACACTTCTAAAAGGACAATTAGACGGACATGTTTAAAATCTATTCCAAATCCAGAAATCCGAACTCCATTCTATTGAGAAATAACCCCTATATGTCTAAGCCACTGCCTCCTTTCTCCTGAAAGACACACACACATGAACAAAAAAAGTTCCCTTCAGTACCAAAATTCCTTACCCCGACGATTCCTGGCGACATTGTCGAAAAACAAAAACAAATTGCATGGGCTTCGTTTACTCAAGTCCGAAACGAAAGGGGAAACGAAACTTCTACCTGCTTTTGGTTTTCGACGATGATTCTCGAAGCTTCTACGTCATAGTTTCGGAGCAGAGGCACGCGACAGAGAGACAATTTGAGAGATGTAGATGGAGGGAGGGAGAGAAAAAAAATCGGTGTCCAAAACCAAATGAATGGAAGCGACGTCAGAATACCCTTTTTAAAATATGTTGAAATATTTATATATATTTAAGATTATATTTAATTAATTTTTCTTATCTAATCATATGGTATATTGAAATGTATTAATAATTTGCTTCAGGCAAAGCCAATATGTTCATGTTTGATTATTAGCCTTGTGCGATTCTAAGTACAAGGCATTGCTTTGGTCGACTATACCCTGGCACGCGCCAGAATTTTCGGTTGTCAATTTTCGGGTTCGTCTTGCCTCTCCCCTTCTCCTTTGCATTTGATGTTCAAGTTGCACCTAAATCACAAGCATTTGCGAAGAGTTTAAGTGAAAGTTTAAAAAAAATTTTAAGTGGCCAAAACAAAATCAATTCTGGTGAGTACAATTAAAAAGTAATGTGCATATAATATTTATTAAATACCGAGCGGCCGTTAAATATACGTACATATGTACATACGGCATTAGCCGCTCGGAAAAGTGAGAAATATTTATATATGTACATATGTAAATATATTTATTAAACGGCATTAGCCGCTCGGAAAAGTGAGAAATATTTATATACAGTATGTCAAGTAATTGTTTGCAAAATAAAAAATTTTAATTTTTGAATTAAATTAAATTAATTTAAAAATACTTTAAATTAAATTTTTGTGCCATTTTTATTTAGCAAACAATTACTTGACAAACTGTATACATACATATATATGTACATATATTTATTAAACGGCATTAGCCGCTTGTACATATTATGTTATTATCTATTTATTGTTTATTTATTTATTTGAGGAAATGATCGTGCAATATAACATCGACGGAGTTAGTGGGAAGAAGAGATTGAAGGCGTTTCCACATTTTTATGGAGTTTTGATTGGTATGTATTTTAATTACAAATAATGTAAGCGATATCTAATTTCTATTTATTTTATTTACAGATAGTATATCTATGGTGGATCCGGGGAAACCGCCGGAGAAAGTGTTGGGGCTCGCTTTGACGGCCATCAAAAATAATAATAATAAAAAAAAAATTAAAATAAGTAGTGTAAATCTTTAGAATAAATAATAAATAATAATAGATTATAACAATGTATTAAAATAATAACAATATAGATTATAACAATTCATAATTTCTTATATTAATAAAATTTCAAATAAAATAATAATTTTGGTTGAAAAGGTTGGATGGAAAGGGGGGGGAGGGGGGGGGGGTGTGAAAATCCTTACAGTTCCTCAGTGAATCCTTTATGAATCCCACCTGAATTCCAGTAAGATTCCTCACGGTATACCTCAGGGATTCCTTGGGGTATTTCCTCAACGATTCCTCAGAGTATACCTCAGGGATTCCTTGGGGTATTTCCTCAACGATTCCTCAGAGTATACCTCAGGGATTCCCTGGGGTATTTCCTCAACGATTCCTCAGAGTATACCTCAGGGATTCCCTGGGGTATTTTGTTCGAAATCCTCTTCGAATACCTACAGGAATCCTGCAGTATTCCTTGAGTTGTTCGAATTCCTCGATGTGAGGAACTCTTCTATGGAAATTCCTTGATGGTTTGTATGAAACATACCTAGAGGATTCCTCGGGTGGCAATACTAGTACCTAGACGATTCCTTAAGGAATCCTTGAGGTATGGTACTGAAGGGTTGACCAACTTGGCCGGCTACTGGTTTGTGTGTGTGTGTGTGCGTGTGCGGCCGCTTTTGGCCAATGGCCACTGTACCGGAGACACCATACGCATTCAATTCAATTTAAAATTCATGGCATTAACTTTAACTTCAACTTAAGTCCGACGCATGCAACTTGATAAAATGGAAAAGCCCGGAGAGGGACGGTAATAAAGAGAGGAAAAGCGATGGAAAGTGTAGGGGAATGGGAGGAGGGAAAAAGCGGTGAAAAGCAGGGTCACTGCAGTGAAGGCTTTTAACTTAGTTTTCTGTGCGTTGATGTTTTTCCTTTTATGCTCCAACCATCATTTCTGCAGTTTCATAATTTGATTCCATACTTTTTCGGTCTGCCCATTAACACGATACGTATGTGCCTGTGTGTGTCTGTCCGTGTGCAATTTTTTGTATATGTATTAGTTAGTGCTTTTAGCTAGCTAATTGCGGCCAATTGGCCAGCACAAAATGCCATAACAAAACCACCGCAAAAATTGCACAAAAATGCAACATGTAACCATATATGTTACGTATAAAGCTGACCAAAATATATCTCCCCCTCCCTTCCCAAAAAGAAAAAAAAAATAAATATATATATATATAGAAAGAAAAATAATGGTGCCCAACAACTCTATATATTTATGCTAACTAGTTTCGAAGCTCGGTGGCAACTCTGGCGAGTATGGCGAATGGCAGCTGCATAAACAATTCCTGGCGACGACTCGTACTGGTGGTACAACTTTTCAGGACCAGAAAACTCGGTAGCGAACAAATTTCGGTAATTAAACTACACTCACCAGAAAATGTCAAAAAAAAAGAGCGGAAAACACAAAAAAAAGGACGAACATGGTTGGCTAACTGGATGAAAAGGATGCTGAACGGATTTGTTCGCCAAAAACATTGATTGTTCTTAATTGCAAAATGGATGGCTGATAAACTCAATCGATGTGGCCAAAAATAGTTTTTCAATGGTGGCTAATGAATGGGCCAAATTTTCCCTTTTTCTCTTTTTAACAAAATTTTCCAATTTATTAGAAAAAAATAAAGAGGACTGAAATAATAATTTAATTTTGCATTTTTGGTTAGCAAGAATTTCTAAAAATTTTATGAAAATTGTTAGGCAGTTACAAGAATGTTATTTGATTGGTAATTGGAATTTTTAATTTAAAAATGTAAACAAAATGGCTAGAATGGGTTTTTAAAATAAAAACAAGTTCATTTTTAACTAGCCTTCAAAAAGAGACTAGAACAGAGCTATAAACCGACTAGTCTCCGACCTTATCTTTAATCTTTAATCAAAAGTCTTAACGCCCTCAAAATCGACTAACCTTTTAGGCCAAAGAACTCAATCCCTTTTGATTGATTTGGAAGGATATACACACATATACATATATATGTACAGAGTTAAGCCAGGACGATGACTCTAATAGTTTGCCATTAAAAATGCAACACCCCGTCTATTGTGTAGACGAATTTTCGATCGAAATTGTTTTGGCCAT